CTCACACACACACACACACACTCAGCGGCTGCAGAGGGATCTGTACTGATTCTTCAGTTCAGTGACCCTGATGTTCAGTTAGTGTCTTCAGTTAAATTAGTCCCATCTGTCTGTGGTTACTTCTTTGATTTTAGTTAGACCCACAAATTTCCTCACGTCATTTAAATATATTCATGACTGATTTCATAAGTGTATGAATGAATGCAATTGACTTAAGAGTTAATAACAAATATTTCTTCTTCATTTCTTCCAGGCCTCAGGGAAAATCATACCTGTTTTTCACTCAGTTCAAAGCTGAACTGAAGGGAACCAAAATTGAATATGCCAACGCATATGTAAGTAAAGAAACACTGTTTTTTTAACTGTGACCAACTTTAATAATGTTAACTAACCTTTCAATAAAGAAACAAGAATGTCACTCGGTAGAGTTTGTACCTCTGGCAAAGCAATTCCACATTCAGTTCTTATACTGGGAAGATAAAACATTTGGTATCATAGTTTTTCATATTACTGCTAAAAACTCAACACTAAAATGTCACTCAGTAGAGTGTGTACCTCCACCAGGGCCCAACAGTACTGTTATGAAACAGCATTTAAATTTGACACCTTCATTAACATCGGTCCCTTAACATGTAGGATGTTTTTCATCAAGATTTATTAATTATTCTCTGTGAAATAAAGGAAATTGTTGAAAAACATCTCACAATGTTAGAAATACTTTTCTCTGACCCATATTGCGTACTTCCTTCAAGTTTTGTGTAATCCTGCAAACAAACGCAGAAGAAAACATTTCCTCCTTGGTGAAGTTCATTAAGGTAACCACAACTGACATGACTTGGGTTTCAGTCACTTAGATCTTGAAATGACTGTTTGGATCATAGACTACATTAAATGTCACGTTAATTAAACTTAAACACGACAACAGCAGAAGCAGAATTTTTCTTTTACTTAGCTTCTTCAGAAAGTCAAAGACATTCCGACTCACTCTTTAATATCCAGTTTCAGTGAGTGTTCTGCTTGTAAAACACTGGGCTTACCCACTAAATTGTTTATCACTTGCATCTCCCTTGTCGTCAGTGTTGTAAGATGTTGGAAGCCAAATTGCACCACAACCTGCACAGTATAGTTATAATGCTGTTGGTGCAGCACAGGATGAACCGTCCCCTGTGTTTCTGCTCCTCAGCTCTTCTCCTGAATGATTAGTTGGAGTGGAGCTTGTGCTGGACAGCAAAAAGCTCACAGGACTCCACTCGCTAACAAAGACAAAGTGCAGTAATGAGTTTTTCCTTGATATTACCTCGCTGCTCCAGGCTTCCTGTCAGTGTAGAGATTAAAGCTGGCCATACTGGGCCCAAATAAGAGGTTAGAATCTAATGCGTCTGCACAAATGTCAAAAGAACCAAGGCTAAATATTGTTGATGAACATTTTTGCATAGCCGGCAAGTTAAAACCATCCACCTTTACACCAGCAGTGCATTATTCAGGGTGAGGGGTAAAATGGATGGCATGTTTGTTTGTCTAGCAGTTTCCTCACTTGATGGAAAACAGAGGGAAACGGCCTTCACCTTGTTATCTTGGTTTCTGAGACTAAAAATTCTTTAGAGTCACATGTATTGTCACGGTCTATTGTTTTGCAGCTGTGGGTCTCATTCCTGGACGTGCATGTACTGTTCATGCATAAATAATGTCTTGTTTCTGAATTCAAATAGCCAGACCTTTGTGCTGTCAAGCTTTTCACCACACCTGCAACAAATTGTTATGTTCACCATCAATTCATTCATTGGTTTTTTTCAAGTGTTTATTCTGTAAAAAGTCCTTGAAAATGGGAAGATTTGCATCTCAATTCCTTAGACCTCTACCAATTTCTTGTTTTGTATGATCAACACTCAATAACCCAGAAACATGCTCAAATGTTTCGCAGGTTGATTAATTGTTTCAGCTCTAGATTTAAAAACAATTTCCAGGGTTGGCAGTTCTAATATTTAAAATATATAAATAAATAATATGCTGTTTTACCCAACCATAAGTGGATGTTGTCCAACTCACGGTCAATCAAATGTCCGCCTCTTAAAATTTTCTGTTGAAGTTTCTGCTGACGTCCTTGAGCCTGGTGAGTCAGAGGTTTGGCTATGTGGAATTAAATTTTCACTATGTAGGATTTTATGGGGATTAAATGCCACCAGAAATCAAATATGATTAAACAACCTTCTGTTTTCATCAGCTTAGAATGAGCCCTTTAAATCTACATTGGAACTTTAACAGACAAACCAAACACAGGCTCTAGAGATGATGACCTTTGACATTTGTTACCTTGAGGATCTGTTTGGCTGTAAAATGACACTTAACCATTAGATGACACTAAATCCTACACAGTGATCCATTAAATGTCACATCATCAGAGACAGAGCAGTGTAATTCCTGAGCACAGTTGAATAAAACAAGTCGTCACTGACGTGTCTTTTGCTTTACTAAACAACCCCTCCTGTCATACTTATGTCTCCACATGTTCCTGTACATTTTAAATCCATTGTCCTCTAAAGATGCACTGGCTCGTACCAACTCTGACAAACCAACACAAAGACATAAAGTATAAAATAAAAACTTTATTTGTCCTGGAAGTCAATCTCTGAATTGTGGCGTCTTTGCACGTAATGTTTCATTGAAGGTTAATGTCTGGACTGTGTCTGAGCTCAGTCACTCTGTGGAGGTCTGCGTATCTGATGTGGTCATCAGCGAAGTTCACCTTGACACGCCTCCTTCCCCCAGCAAGGACAGCGGTGTCAGTCTGTCATTAGTGAGAGCGCATGTTTCTGCCTCCTGCTCTGGCTCTGAGCCCTGCAAACACAAAACAAACACAAAACAACTTCACTATGATGGGACAGGAATAATCTTGCATACAAAAAAACACCTACCACCCTCCTTGACCTAGACGTCAAATCCTCCCACTTTCCCAGCCCGTCTGCTGTTCCGCCTCTCATCCTGTTTATGTTTCTCTCTTTCTCCTTGTTCCTTTTCCTCTCCTCCCCCTCTTCATCACCGCCGCTGTGTGTGTGGCTCCAGTCGCAGACTGCAGGGGCAGGACAGAGTGACGTGCCTCTGAGGCCGGAGGAATTCACCATAGGAGACTCAACAGGTGAGAAATTGATCAACGCCCACTGCTTGTCATGCCAATCTTTCACTCTGACGCCCTCCCTCTCTCCATCACACTGCGAGCTCCCTGCTGACTTCTTTCTTGAGCATATGCTCCACCAGGGAGTGGGTTGCCATTTGTCCCTGTAGCTTTTTTTTTGCTGTTATTCAGTTTGAGCAGAAAATCTCTATTCTGGATTCAAACTGGACACAAATTTACAGTAACTTCATTTTCAGCATGAGGCTACACAAGAGGACACAGACCCAAACTCATCTCTTGATCATAATCCATCTCCGGAAAATGAATTCAGGCATGATTGAGTCCTCGTTGTGTTTCTGCTAAATTGACCTTTTAGTTGCTATAGACGGACATCAGTGAGCTGGCTTGTAACTCGCATACCTGAACCAAATATATTCATATTTAGTAAGCTGCCGATTAACCAGAGGGGGGAGCTGTTCAGTCATTGACAGACCAGTTTTCACACAGACTAACCAGCACCACCTACTCTAAACAAAAGGAACTGCAACTTAGACCTAAACATAAAGACACATTGTTGCCATCAACAGACAAAGAAAGTGATGCTTTGTTCCATCTGCAGACAATGAGTGTTACTAAAGAAAAATATAGCTGCTGTCATGTTGTGTGTTTGGGTTTAAATGAAGAATTTTTGATGCAAATCAATAAATTATTACTTTCCTTCAAACCTAAAAATCTTTTTTATATTTCATTATTTAAGGTTTGAAAAAGTAGCATATCTATAACAATTTAATTATTGACCTTTATTGAAGGTTAGGCTTGACTAGCTGTTTCCCTTTACCTTGAGTCTTAATGCTAACATGTGCTTGCCCCGTCTTGTCTTTAGCTCTGTACAGATATGATACTGAGAGAGTGATACTGATGTTTTTGGAAATCTTTTAGTTGGCTCACATTGCTCATTCTCTTTTTATCATCCCTGTATCCCACCCTCGTTTCTTTTTTATGCGCAATTTAAAATTGGTGAGGAATCTCCGCCTCTTTCTTCCAAGTGAATGTGAAGAATAGCCGATACGCTGTGAGCAGAACGATCACTAAGGTCTCACTTATCCAGCAAATAATATGCTCTGGTGAACAGAACTATTACTTTTTCACAACCTCACACCTCTGACACAACAGTGGCTCTAATAAGAAAACAAATGCAGCTGTATCACTGGTTGCCTGCAGGTCCCACTAGTGGAGAAAAAAGCAGCAGCTATAGAGACCTACAGATGATTGTTGTAGGAGAACCCAGAATCCCCCTCATACCTCAACAAAGCGATGACATTGTTCTACTGGCCTAGGATCTGTGACAAACACAAGCTTACAAAACTTACACATTTTAAATAGCCAGAAAAAAGAACACCTCTTTCTTGGTTTTTGAAGCCTAAAAGCATTCACCAGAAATGAATGTCTGATTATATAAACAAACTACACCACTGTTACTAATAAGCTTTCAAACCCGTCTAACTAAATTTGATTTGAAGCATTCTTCTGCAACAACTTTTCCACTTGGGAAGTCAGTTATTCTTTAGAAGAGTGTGAGTATAAACACAACAAGGCTGTGAAGGTGGACTCATGATCTGCTTTAATGTGCGTCGTGAGCCCATCAGCCTCAATTGGCCACTTAAAGCTTTAAAGAATCAGGAGTGAAGTAATAACTGTATTTTTTGAAAATCTCTTGAGCTCGTGTGACACACAGACCTTATTTCAGAACAATAAAAAAAACATAAATGTTTGGAAAAAGGGAACCATAAATAATACAAATTCTAAATTATTCCCAGTTCAAGGACTCATTCCTGCAGCACTGTATTACATCCCTTGCCTATAGATGGCGGACATATACATCTGCGGTTTAAATGGCCTGCTGCTGTTACTTTTCTTGGCAACAGGCAGCGCAGGTTGGACTGGACCTGCAGCTCTGAAACTGCTGCCTCTGCAGCTCTGCAGTCAGATGATACTCGCTGGGTTCAGGTGCTTTGAATCGCTGACACTGTTTTTCCTTATTTTTGTAATAATGTTGTCTCTGACAGCAATTTACTCTCTCTCCTGACCTCTAGTGACCCACAATGACGGCAAGTTCAATGCTCAACTCTCCAAACTGACCGCCATCGGACGGACACGGCACGATGAGCTGTAACTGGTCAGAAGTCCGACATGGCTCTGGTCACGTTTTGACCAATGGGAGCAGCTGGGTGAGCTCTGAGCTGGGCCTCTCTGCAGTCACTGCAGGATGGATCTGTTCAACCAAAATTTGAAGTAGGATGATACTGATATTGCCTTTGCAGCACCTTCTGTGTCAGTACATTAATTACTGTACCTGATTATTCTCTTACCTCAGTAGATTTATGCTACTTGGGACAAAAATAATAAAACGAGGAAGCGTCAGTTGAGTATCCAGATTTTTTTTTTTTTTACATGGTGTCCTAGTTAAAATTCTGCCATAAGATAAAGTGCTTCCATAGTTGTTCTTAGTTTTTGAGGCTATAAGATTTACAGTGAATAAATCTGCCCTGATCCACAGGGGATGTATGTGAATGTACACAGGATTGGTGTGTGGGGGTTTGTTGAGTATAGATAACACATTTAGAGTCAGGAGGGATTTATCCTTCTTGTGTAATCCTGAGAGGAAAGTGAGTAATCCCCCTGTATCATCATGGCACACACATAAACAATTACATTTTTTCCTCAATCTCATTCCGCTCTGAGCTGCTGTTGAGACGACGCCTCGGTCTCTTGTCTGTTTATCTTCATCTGTTCCAGATAACTGAAAGCATCACATTTGATCCCCCTAGATCACAATTCAGTATTATTTGTGAAAACTTTTTCCTTTTCTGCTTCTTTTTGACCACAAGCTATGCTCATAATCGAGCAGATAGCAGCTTCATCGTGTAGAATTTAGAACGATATACACGATTGTGTTTTTGAGCACACTAAAGCAGTTATGGATAAATCTCAAAGAATATAAATGTGAACTAATTGTAAATTAGAAATCAGAAACATCGCAGGCTTTTAGAATCCTGAAAGATTTTTTTCTATCTGTTGCACACAAGACAGCTAATCGAACATAGCATGAACTCACCATTAAGTCTTATTGACTGGCACATCAGATCAAAAGCTCAGACTGGAAGAAACTGAGAAATCAGGCACACTGGTGCTAATTTCACACTATTGTTCTATTTTACTTCATCAGAATCAAAAAGTGATTAAGCATACAACTTACAGTACGACTGATTTCCTTTCTTATACAGGATAAAAAATATATCACTGTTTCGGACAGAAGTTATTTGAATCGAATATAGTTTATTAGAAATATCCTCATTACACATCTGTAACTAACAATTCAATAATGGTCACAAACATCCTTATTCTGCTATTTTTAAACATACTCTTTTCTAATTCTGTGACATTTCACTGAACCTTCAGTTACTTCATGTGAAATTTAACCAAAGCTAAATATAGTGTGTGCACAGACGTTTGGCTCTTGAATGCTTTGCTTTCATCCTTCAGTGTCACGTGTGGATCAGCGAGGATATTGTGTATGTTTCAGAAGTACGTCATTATTATTAGGTCCCTCTGGTCCCTCTCTCCTCTCCCTGCTCTTATGGAGTGGGCAGGATTACCTTTATCTTTCCTACACTGATCCGACCTTCTTAGATCCACACAAGTGTCCAGAGGATGAGGTCTGGAGATTGATTTCAGATTTGACTCTCCGGTCTGAACAACTTCCTGAGGTTCATACCTTGTTCGGCCTCGGTTTGGTTTCTCTCGTCTGTCCTCTGGATTTGAGGAAGTGCTCAACGGGGATGTTTTTTGTGTGTCCCTTTTTGTCACTGTCAAGACGTCACATCAGGAAGTACCCACATCCATATCCTGACCAGGAAATAAATAAAAAAAAAAGATGTTACTTATTTTATACTTTTTCTTTTTTCTGTCTAATTCGTGATCATTCATGATGAAGTGTGATGTATGTTTCAGTAAAGACATGTTGTCACTGCTCTGGAGTTGAGTCTGTTTTTGTGTCTTGTTATGTCAGATCATTGTGATCTGATGGAACCACCCATGGCTTCATCAAAGGCTAAACATGAAAAGAGAAAGTGCCAGCCAGTAAATATTCTGAGCACTGTCAGAGCTTGGTCTGGATCATTTGTAGCAATTTTATTACAAGAATTAATATATCCCTTATTAACCTAAATTAAAACACCATGTTTTCACCATACAAATGAGACTTCATATGAAACTTGATATTTAAATGAGTATTATGAAGAATTTGCTTTGCGTGCGTACTCAATTAACATATATTGTTCTCAGATAAATGTTTGCATGAGATAAAGCGCTTCCATTGTTTCTTCTTAATTTCTGGGGAGCAAGGCTTTGCAGGGAGGATCTACTAAATCCAGAGCTTTTATATACAGCCTGTGATCCAGAGGCACATATGGGAATGTATAGAGCACTGATCTTTGTGGGCTTATAGAGATATAGCGTCTGGAGGGATTTATTCATTTTGTGTTAAGCCAAGAGAAAAATCAGTATTCTTGATTGTCCTCAATTGGCATCTGTGGCTTTTAAAAATTGTAATAACACTACGAGTGATGTAGCAGTGAAATGTAGAAAGACTGTAACTATAAAACTTCTGAATTTATTGAGAGAAAATCTGTTGCGTAGTCGCACTTAGACAGAGCCAAGTTTCATTGAGATCACAACACACGAGCTGTGCCAAGAAACTCCCACAGTCTCCTGCTTGTAATTAATGCATCTTATAGCAAAGCTGTGGCTGTTTCAGAATCTCTTTTCCATTTTTTTTGGCCTCATGGAAACAAAATTTGACACTTTGTTCCCAGGATGGCTGTTCTATTGAGTCATAAGTCTCTGCAGCACAATAGTTCTTTGTTTAGCATCAGTTGAGTGTGTGTGTGAGACTCACAGCTGCCTCTGTGCTGTCATCCAGCCCATAAACAAATAACCATCAGATACCATTCTCCTCGCTGTGCAGCCATTAAAAAAAATATATACACTCAGTGCTGCAGAGCACATGCTTGGATTGCAATGGCCTCCATTCAAAAGCTTTGATCAGGAGCATTTTGAATCATTCTAGCATTGTATATCTGGTCTCTTTGAGACTGAAGTAAAACCTATTGTGTTCCATTAAACATCATTCAAATATTCTTGCTGCCCAACTGATTTTAGTGTCTAACCTTTTTGTTGGGGAATTGAAAAAAAATATATGAGCTTTAGTTTTTCCGACTTTTTTTGCTTATTGTCTTACAAATGTTCACTTTTATCTTGTGACCTGTCATCATCAGGTAAAATTTTAATTTAGCTCATTCCTGTCTGATGCTTTGTGTTTACTGCTAATTAACAGAAGTCAGCATGCCAGCTCTGGTGAACCTGCTTAACATGTTTGCACTTACAAAACACCTCTGTGTAGGTACAGCCTCGCTGAGCCACCTGACTGTAGACCTCATAGACTGTATATAATGATGGACGACATGACAACTCCCCAAAAGTGAAGCCAAAGAGCTTTCATCGCCACCTGTTGGCCGGCTGCAGTAAACCCCGCCTCTTCCATCTTTAGCGTCTCAAAAATGGGTCAAAAGATAAGGTAGATAATATGCTCCTTGCACGAGTCAGCGCTCAGGCCCTCATAACAACAGCTTAATCCAAACGACAGAGACAAGATGGCATCGAGATGCAGTAGGATCTCAATGCCATCAAATGACTTAATTCAATCTGCTGTGCTGTATTTAAGTAATCCTGGACTCCAGCGTCTTTTTTTCCTTCTTCCCTCTCTCACACACCCGCCCCCTGCTTCTCTCTCTTTGCATCTCCTGACATTTGGAGAGGAACAGATGGAGATAGCGGGCGGGTCGGTCAAGCCAGAAGCAGCAAAGGAGAGGGGATTTTTACCCAGTGAAAGGCACAACGGATGGCCAGCTGCACCCCTTCTCCCCAGACGCACATCCCGATGTGTGGGCTTGTGACCCAGTCGGCGCAGAGTGGCTCGGCCTGTGCACTTTCTTACCTGGCCTCGCTAAGTTTTCTGTCTCCTGATCTGTCACACATCTCTGGCCTCTCTGACCCTGCATGTGTCTTTCACACCACTGAGCCAAAGTGGCCCGAGGTGCACCGAGTTCTCATTATATCATCTCAACCCCTGACAGCAATTATCCGACCCAGACAAAACAGACACATGTGAGTGGAAGTGTCTGGGTGCATGGGTTTAAGCGTACCAAAAGTAATGGGCCCTCACTTCGTCTTGTCATCTTACAATAATTACAATTCTTTCTAATTAGAGCTTCTCCTTTGCCCTTTAATTGAGCGAGCTGCTGTGCAAAGTGAGCATCTGTATGGAGGCTCTTGTTAGTAGACCAGTAACCCAGACAGATGTTATGATGCCCTGTGTATGTTCTGCGTACTCGATGTGTCTAGAAGGAGAGAGGGAAAAAGACGTCAGCAGAGCCAAGCTGTTCCTCCTGACTTACTCACCTCGAGTTGCTTCTCTGTCCTGTCACCTTGCAAACTTGGTCTCAGTTAAACTTGGCGACCCTTAAATCACTCCTCACTCCTTGCTGACTTCGTGGCTGGTGCTGTGAATGTGGCTCAGTTTGATCGGCCTCCCACTCCTGCTGCATCGTCTCACACTGTGGTCGAGAGCAGCTTTCTTTTCTCTGGATACGGAGGCGCTTTGCGGGTCTCCTTCACTTTCTTTGTGTGGTCAGAGGTTCTGTGGTGGGGGTAAGGTGGAGGTTTGCGACCTCTGCGACCTTGCGCCGTTAATGGTTTCGCTGTGGCTGCGGAGGCAGTGCACACCTGTGAGGCTGCGTGAACAGGCCCTGCTGAGGACGCTCGCTTCTCTCTTTCAACGCTGGACACCGTTTGAGTTTGTGAGTCTGTGGGTGGGCAGCTGGCAGATGGAGGATGGATCGATGATGGAGGGAGCGAGCCAGCAGATGGGTGGTCGCGTTGTGGGGTCTGGTAAGATCCTACCTTGGTCTCTATGATGACAGACGGGCTGAGGGCAGGGGGTGGGTGAGGCTTTGGAGACATCGTCGAGGGAGGGGAGATGGGGCCGACCCTGATGAAGGAGGATGGACCAGGGGAGTGAGGCCGCGAAACTGGGCTTTTGGGGGGATGGAGGTTTACTGTGAGAGGGGAGAGACCAGGAGTGGGAGGTCGAACAGGGAGGTTTCTTTGGGGAGGCAGCGTAAGGTCATGGGAGGTGAGGTTCTGAGTTTGAGTTGGGCCAGATGAAGGGGGCTTATTGCTGTACGGCAGCAGTCCACCTTTTCTGGGAGAAGACCCAAGACTACAGGGGAAGGGAAGAGTTCGACTCCTCTCGGATGAGGACACCGGGCACAGCTGCACACTGGGTGGAGACTGGCCCCTGCTATGGTGACCTCTCCTGAGGGTGCCAGATGAGTCAGTGGCTCCTGGCTGCACTCCAGGCTCAGAGGGCCTCTGATGGGTGCTGCATATTGTCACCTCGCTGGAGCTGGAGCCTGAAGTGGAGCTGCTATCGCTGGGAGGCTTGGCCCTGTCGCCTCCTCTGGTGTCCTGCTGCTGCTCCTCCTCGTTCAGATCAATGGACGAGGTGAGATAGTCAATCTGCTGCACCACCTAGAAAATACAAACAATGATGGAGGGAGTGCAATGTGAGGATTAATGAGAAAGACTGGTTACATAATAGAAACACTCCACTGACTGTACACATGTAGATCAGTTTACTTCACATGAGGAGAACTATGAATGAATAGTATTAATGAAGTCCTTCTGAGTGGAGCTCTACAAACTGAGTGGAGTGTGAAAGATGTGGGTGTTACCCGGTAGACAGGGTTTAATCATTAAGTTGCATTATGGGACACGTAGGATCCAGCCTTTCTGGAGCTTGACTTATACCAGATGTGTGTGCGCTCCTGTACTTATATCTTTGTGAGGACCAAACAGGAAACAGAGAATACTTAAAACTTTGACAAAACAAATGACTCATACAATCATGAGCGTCTGTTGTTTCTGCTGTTACATTTCGGGATATTCTTCAACACTATTATTATTATGAGAGGAGTGTTCTTTCATTTGGAGAAGCAAAGGACGCAGTATCCTCTAGATAGTAATAAATATCTCAAATGATAGAGTTTTGGGTGATTAATTCTTCTGCATTAGGCTGCATTTATAATTTAGAGCATATTTGCAGCTGACTCTCAGCAGATGTATTGCACTAATCTGTGAGCAAGTCACATGAGCTTGTAGTACTTAGTGCAAAAATGTTTACCTCAGCCTTTAGAGGATGAGAGCACCATTACTGGAAATGTGTAAGCTAAATTTAAGTGGGTTTCCCTTCTAATAACTCTCAGTGGATAGTGTGTAATATATCATACACAGGCAAACCAGTATATCTATGCATGTTTTTAAATGTTTGCAGACTGTCCAGTATGCACATACACACAAATCCACAGATACATTATTAACACAGAGACACAGTCAGGTGGGTGGACACACACACAGACTCTCCAACACACACACATGATGAAACAAAGCCTGGAGAGAGATTGTAGAAAATTACACTGGGGAAAATGTTTGACCCATCTCTCCACCTGCTCACCGTGCACAGATAAATCCTCGGGTCCTGCAAGAACAAATGAATTATTGTTTTGTTCCCTGTGTTCAACAGCATCCTTGCCGATGTCAAAAGATGACCTGGTTTGTCTCTTTTTTATGCCGTAGCTTTTTAGGCGAGGCATTTCATATTAATACTTTGAAGTAGAGTCTGTGTGTGTGTGTGTGTCTGCACGTCAAGCGACTGTGGGCAGGTGCTGCTTGTTAATGTCAGGAATCAGACGAGATAAAAGCAGAGGACCCTGGTTTTTCGTCTGCTGCTCCCATGAGTGTTTATAAAGACGTCTCTGACCCCTCAGGTCTTCACATATGGTGCTGATGAGTGCTAAGGGACGTGTTTTCCTTTCATTTAACTCTTTCAGTTTAACCTTGCTGTCGTTTTCCTTGAAGTTCTGAGTCATAATGCAGCGTCTGCTTTGCCCAAATTCCTCAGCAGAGGATCACTTGCGTATTCACGTGTGAGCTTTGCCTTTGAGATGCTTTCTTCTCTCACCGTGTGTGAGTCTTTAGTGTTGCTGTAATATTTGTATAGTCTCAGTCTAAAATACTTTAGAGGCTGACTCCAATTTCTTTTTATAAAATAGATATATTATTTAACAAAACTGAGGGTTGCTGCTCATGCAACAGAATGATAAAACAGGGCTTTGAAATAAATATGCTACCAAAGTCTTCTCTGGTGCCTTATCTTCTTTTGATCTGTCATCTCTGTTGTTAAAATTTGGGACTTTCTATCACAGTGGCGGTTTGCTCCCTCTCATCCCACCCTATATGCTCTTTCATCAGTGTTATATTAATACTGTCACACGAAAAAAAAAAAACAGCCAGGATGATGAGGTTATAGCACCTCGGGTCTAGCCACGACCCCCGCAGATGGGAGATCAAACGGCAAGAGGCGAGATTTTTTTCATGTCACTTTTTTTCCAGATGAGGAACACGAGGCAGAGACACTCGGACATAAATGGATTATAAGAAAGAGTCGGACACTGTCCATCTGGGCCTGGAGCAGCATCTGTCAATAGGGAGGGAGAGTGGAGGAAGAGATGAGGAGGGGGGGATGCAGAGAGGGAGGCTTTGCCTAATGTCACACAGCGTAATCTCAGCAATCTGTGAATGCATCAGGCCAATGGGGCAAACGTATATAGTCTCATTCACCTCTATACAAATTTATGCATGAGTAGGTTTGGCAACAGAGACGTCGGAGAAGAGTTGGAGAAACAGTTTGCTGGCTGCGGTGGATTTGTGCATCCCTGCTGCTGACTTTTTAATGCATGTTAAATTCTGCTGAGGACATGCATTTGTAGTCTGCATTGTTACACGTGAGGGCACGAGCCCTCCAGGTTTTTCTAGCACCAGCATGGAAATTTCCAGCATGAGGAAAATGACTGAATAATTGAGAGAGGATGAAGTATCTATTCTCCCTTCTCTGAGCTGCTTTATCTGTTTATGATAGGGCGGTTGAAATGGTTGGATATGAGACATTATAGCCTTGTTGTGTCTTTTCTCACTATTTCTAATCAACCAAAATCTGTCACCTCACCTCTCTCATTTCCTGGTGCACGTCCCTCAGCGCTGTGAGCACCTGCTCCAGGTTGTCCACCACTCGTTTGATCTGATTTCGAACTGCCTTCCTGCTGCAGCCCGCCTCCCTCCTCTCCGGCTCCCCTTCACTCTTTGGTCTGCGTCTGAGCGACGTCTGCTTCTGGCCCAGGACGGCGATGTGCTCTGAGCTCGGCCTGGGTTTCCTGGGGCGCCGTAGCACCGTGGTGCAGCCCAGGCCTCTCTGAGGGACCTCGGTGGAGAAGATGACTCCGTTGAGGGGCCCGTTGAATCCCTCCACAGGTGGTTCTCTCAGCGCTGACAGGTCTCTGTGGCTCTGGGAGTTCCTGCTCTGTTGTTTGATATAGCTAAAGCTGGAGCTGAAGCCGTGCTGCCTCTCGATTAGTCCCTGAGTGTCTGGGCTGACCCAGCTGGATGAGTGCAGGTCTCTCTGGTGGTAGGTGGTATGGCTGGCGTAGTCCCACACCTTATCCCTCCTGTCCTCCATACACAGCACAACAGGCACCTCACAGTTTGGCTCCTTAGGGAGCAGTGAAGGAACAGGAACAGGAGGGGGTACCACAAGTGGCCCGTATTTCTTTGTTGAGGTGCTAGTCCTGTCATTCTGTGAGTGAAGGAGGTTTAGCTTACCGCTGTGGTTCCTCCCCAACGTGTGGTTCTCCTGGGCAGAAGTGAAGCTGTTGACTGGACCCTGCGGTCCATCCCCTGGGCTGATTTGTGCGTTGGGGTCTGGGTCTAAATCTGGAGATTGGTTCCACCTGACAGGACTCTCCTCCCTCTGCTTCCCCAAACTCCCTGGCAGGATGTGGGGCCCCCTCAGCACCACCGGCAGCATCCTTGCCATCCCCATGCCATTGCACTTCAAGTCACCCTTCTTTGTACGGCCCTTTCCCGGGAAGGAGAAGAACCCGATCCCCTTGGCTCTCTCCAGGGGGGTCAGGCTGCCACGGTCCTCCGGGTTGGGTTTTTGCGGCCCGTTGAGCCCCAGGTCACTGCTGTGGTGGGTCTTTAGACTGTTGCGCAGCCACGGGATGAAGTGAGGGGCGTGCGGCTTGAAGCCTTTCTGCTCCCCAGGCGCTGGAGCCCTGCTGTCAGAGAACATGGTGATGGAGGATGTCCAGCAGCCTCACAAAAAGATGAAGCAGCAGAAGAGGAACAGGAGGACTCCTGAGACACAGAGAGCTTCCTCCTCTTTTTCCATGAATCTCCTCCTACCTTTTCCATTAACATAGACTCTATCCGCTCTGTCTTAAGTCTCTGTTCCCCTCTCTTACTTTTTCTCCAAAACTTTTATCTGCTTTTTTCCAGCTCGGCTCAGATCCCACCCATCTACTCCCCTTTTCCCGATGAAGTCTGCTTCTATTTTTTATCGCCTTGCCTTTTTCCCTTCTTCTTCTCCCTCTCCTGCTGCTTCTCCTCCCACTATCTTTTCCGTTGTAGTGCTCTTGAGCCCCTCACCCCCTCATCGGGCCGGCCTTGGAGATGCCGATGGACTCACTCTCCTCGTCTTCTCTCTCTGCTTGCCTGCATATCACTGGTTCAGTAGCACTGGAGGCTTCCAGCCTCTCACCCCCTCCCTTCCTTCCTCTCACTCTCTCTCTCTCTCTCTCTCTCTACCTCTCTCCTTTCCTGTCTCTCTCTCCCCCCCGCACTGCGCTGCGCCGCTGCCTCCTATCCTTGCTCTTTCTTCCTCCCACTCCCTCTCACTGCTCTAACTCCCTTTCTCTATTTCCCTCTCCTCTCCCCATCTGTCTCTTCTCGGCTCTCATCT